CATCTGGGGATAACTCAGAACTGCTACGTCTGGAGGACTTCATCAATTGTTCTTTCATGTCTAGAGATCTATCTGTCTCCAGCTGATTAAGAAAAGGTATATTCAGATCTTTAACCTCAGGAGAAAATCCAGTATTCATTTCTGCAACAGGGCCTGAGTTTCTAAATTCTAAAGGCGATTCATAGATATTCTCCCTGGGGGGGGAGTTAGACAGTTCTTTATGTTCTGGAGAAAAATGTGGCCCACTCCAAGCTGAAACCACTGCAGGAACTTCTTCTAAAGAAGCCTGTGACTGGATTTGGTCAAGAGCCAAAGACACAGCAGACCTTTCTTCTATTTCAGGAGATGATTCAAAGTTACTTCCACTCATTTCTTTAATTTCTGGAGACACATGGGATGGGATCTGGTTTGAAAATTCTTCAGATTTCTCTACCACCTCCATTAATACCTCATCTTGGCTTGGCTTACCTAATGTACTACTTTGGTCTTTTGCATCTGGAGATGACCTAAGACATCTTTCTTTTAATGGGGTTCTAGGTGTGTCTTTGAGTACTGGTGAAGATTCAGACCTATCCTGCACTGGAAGAGCACTCAATTTGTCTCTCAGTCTAGGAGATGATGCAGTAACATCTTCCTGAAGAAGTAAGCCTGTTTTCTCTTCTGATACAGGAGAAGGCTCCAATTTACTCTGGCCCAGAAGAGATTTACAGTCCATTGCAGGATATGGGGAAGTATCAGAGTGCGATCTGTTCTGCTCAGGAGACATTCCAGATTTCAGTCTAGGACTTACTGACATGTTTCTGTCTTGTGTTGCTGGAGATCTGTGTGCCAGCTCAGTGATTGGAGATGAGGACCTGGACCGGCCAACCTTAGGAGATGTTTGAGATCTGCTCTGCAGAGATGGAGATTCGTAGTAACTCTGTCTCATTTTTGGACTTGAAATATCAGATCTAGGGTCTGCTGAAGTTTGAGATTGTCCTTCCTGTTGCAGAGAGGAGCAGCCAAAATAGCTATCTCCCAGTAATGTGCTAGACTCTACTCCTGGAGAAAGGGAAAAGGATCCAGAGCAACTTTGTGCTGATGAGTCTTTAGACTTCTCTTGAGAACATGGTGACTTTGATCCAGAAAAACTGTGCCCTGGTGGAGTTTGGGGCTTTCCTTTAGGGCATGGTGAAGCAGACCCTGAGTAACTTTGTCTTGGTGGTGTTCCAGATTTCACTTTGGTATCTGGTGAGGAGGACCTAGAATGGCTGCGCCTTTGCAACAATGTAGATTCCACCTTGGAGCAAGGAGACTCTGATCTGCTTTGCCTTGGTGGTGTTTTAGATGTCACCCTACTAGGACTTGGAGAAGAGCCAGAATGGCTGTGACTTGGTGATGTTACTGCCATCACTTTGGGTTGTGGAGATGATGACCCAGATCGGCTCAGTTTTGGAGGTGTGCTAGATTTCAC